TGCGCGAGTACCGCATTGAGATGTCTTGGGCTTAAATGGCTTAAAATTACTTTAATGTTTAAACTGACAAGCCTTAAAACACGTAAGAGTGAAAAACTTTCTCGAGGAAGCAGCACTGGCCTGATCATTAAGATAGTTTTGGGGGCTAAGGTGACAGATAGGGGGGCTGAAACCCACCTAAAAAGGGTTTAGAACCGCCCCTGGTATAGCGTCGAGCCAACTCTGCTCTAACTGTCGACTAGCAGTGGGAGTCAGATTGCCCCCTAGTGGATGGCTAAAGATTTGTTAACTCATATTCATAAATTCTCAAGAGAACATCTCTGAATTAACTGATGCTCGTGCCCTCCTTGACAGGTGCTGGCGCCCCCCTGCATTAACTCACACCATAGTAGAATTTATAATTTTGGTAGAATAGCTAAATTTAGAAGCTAAATAGCTGATGTATAATACAGATAGAGCTATTATGTTACACAACTGGATGTCTCAGTAAAGTTATGAAGAAACATAAGCTCAACCTAATTAATATTCATGAAATCACCCCATTAATAATTTTGCTAGAATAGCTTGATTTGGAGACTAAATAGCTGGTGTATAATACAGATATTATATTATAATATTCATGAGCTAAGCTTTTTATTAAAATTTGGATAACAGTAGCTTGTGATGAATACAGATAGAAATGAGCTTACATGACAACCTAATTAATATGCATAAGCCAAGTCTACACTGTAGTAGGATTCAGAATGTTTACATTTTTGAAAATGATTTAAGATTCATAAGCAAAGCCTACACCATAATAGGATTTAAAATGTTGCTGGAATAGTTGAATTTGTACTAGGGTTGGGCCGATAGACGATGCCATCGTCGATGGCTGATAGACATCACGATGTTGCGCCGGCATCGTGATTCACCCGCCCCCCCCCTTTTTGAATGCACGATTGCTTTTTAGTTTCAACATCACTTTCGAGATTCGTGATCGCACGTACTCTGTTTATACTAAGGAGCGGCAGTACTTACAACACATTTTACAAGATTATATGTTTGTCAGTGGTACTGAGGATCTGCAAATCATTCGCCATCGTCCTCAGTCATCTCTCCTTACACCGTGTCAACACCGGACGTGACAGTTGTCGTGTCGCATCAGTTAAGTCTGTCTACACTGGAAGCGACAAAGCGACCGTTGAAAATCATTTGAAATTTGTGTCAGCATGTCATAAATAGAACACGGCAGCAGTTTACTGTCAGGGATTTGTCGTGTCACGCCGCGCCGCATCCAGTGTAGACAGCATCACTGATTATAATGAGTTCTATTGACTGATCTATATATAATTAATCTCTATTATAGATCAGTGGTTCTATAGTATTTTGTTGCGCCGCACCACTCGCGTCCGGTGTAGACACGGTGTTAGGAATCGTTAGTTGTTTTCCCTTATAAGGATTCACGCTTCGGGCACACACCCCTCCCCGCCGATGTCATCGTCGATCGCGATGTTTCACTGTAGACATCATCCAATGCCAAATTTGTAGACATCGCCCAACCCTAATTTGTACAAGAGTAGCTGGTCTTGTTTACAGATAGGAATTAGCTTACATAACTGGATGCTCCAGAAAAGTTACATAACTATGTGAACACAAACTAATTAATATTAATAAGCTAAGCCTAAACCATAGTAGGATTACAACTTAGGCCAGAATTTTTGGATTTGGATGGTTGCAGAAAGAAAGCATTAGAAAGGCTCCAAAAAAGAAGTTTACGAATCAATGTCAACATGGCCTAATCAATATTCATGAGCTAAGCTTTCAAACTGTATGATTCAGAATTTTGTGGAACGGAATTAACTATTCCAGAATTTTGTTTGGAATAGTAACATTTTAAAACTGGTGTGGAAAGAGTAATTACCTTGGTTAAGAGGTGTGGATATAACAGGCAGGCTTGTTTAATGACGATTTCCAAGTCCTCACTAGGGACCAGCTCTGATTGGCTGGGATCAGGCTCCTCCTCCACAAAGTGCAACAGCGACTCCACTTCCTTCCGCGTGAAGGTGAGGACAGGGTTCAAATCATCCACGACTCGATCTGGTCAACAGGTAATCATAAAGTCAGAACTGTTTTCACATGAAGACAAAAATAAAAAATCCCAGACTTTCCTGCCCTCTCTTACCAGACATGCCCTGCTTGGACACCTGCCGGTCGTAGATCTTCTTCTCCAGTGTGAAGTCACACACCAGCCTATAGATGTGGCAAGGCTTGTGCTGGCCGTAGCGATACACGCGACAGACGGCCTGAGCGTCGTGACACGGATTCCACGATGCGTCGAAAACCACCACGCGATTCGCACCGATCAGATTCACCCCCAAACAACCAGCCCTGCAAATACAGCAGCCTGTTAGTCCAGACCTCATCGTTTTGTCACTATTTGTGGCATATTTTTGAGCTCAAGTTCACCTGGTGGACAGCAGGAAGACCCAGGCTTGGTTGTTTGCCGGGTCGTTAAACTGGTTGATGAGTCTTTCTCTCTCTGAAGCTGATGTGCTCCCATCCAACCCTGCACAGGAGACAAAAAAAAAACAGTGAATTTAGAAAGAACAAATACCCTAAACCACAACAAACCTTAGGCAGTTGATCTATAGGCCACAGAAATGAAAATTATTAATAAATATTTAATATGGGTCTGTAGAAAAAGTCAGTGACAAAAAAAGAAGAAAAAAAAACACAATAAAAGGTTCTTTGGACAACTATTTATGAAAATGTGTTTTGTAGTGCTTTCAAATGAGTAATCGCGATTAATCGCATCCAAAATAAAAGTTTTTGTTTAAATAATATGTGTGTGTGTACCGTGTATATTTATTATGTATATATAAATACACACATATACATGTATATATTTAAGAAAAATATGTTGTTTACATATTAAATATATTTATCTTTAATATAAATAACATAAATATATACATGTAAATATTTTCAAAATATATACTGTATGTGTGTGTTTTTATATATACATAATAAATATACACAGTACACATACATATATTATGTAAACAAAAACCTTTATTTTGGATGCGATTAATCGCTTGACAGCACTAGTGTTTTGAGATGTACTGCTAAAATATTTGAATAGCTAATTATATAACTTTTTTCAGATATATTAAACATTATATTTTATTCACAAGTAAATTTTAAAAATGCTTAAATTATGACTTAAAAGTAACATTACATGAATATTACTAATTATTATTAGTTATTATTTTTATTATTATTAATTAAAATGATAGGACACTTATCACACGTATTATTTGTCTCACACAGTATAAACAAGGCTTTTAAAAATATAACTGTCTTTTTATTTTTTTAAATACATTTGAATTAATTATTAACTATGATGATTATTATTATATTTCCAAAATTTATAAACGTTAAAATTCAATCACACTTAAATTTCCATTTTAAAATTCTAATAACCACTCCACTTACCATTTCTTTCATAAAATACATAGCTGCCTTTATATTTTAGGAAGAGGGTCCTTCGCAGGGGGAAGCTTTCAGGAAAACTTTGTGTATTTATTTATTTGTTTTAATCTTTTGGATTTTTTTTTAGCTCTAAAAATGATTTGTATTTATTAGTTTTAGTTTATTTAGTTTTTATTTCAAGTAATGAACTTTTCTTTATCATTTTAGTTTTAGTTAACAATAACAACCCTGGTCCTTGGCATCAGCAAACGTTTGAAAACTCACTGTAGTAATTGACGTTCCGGACCCAGTTGTGCATCCCAGTTTCTGTTTGGATCGGCATTGGCCTCCGACTCAGGAAATCTTCCATAACCGTAAGCGTTGATAAACTCTGACTGCAACAATCACACACAGATAAACAAGCCAGTGTATGTGTTGAGGTAAATGTAAAATAAAAGCATGACTGACAGCTCAGGATGCCTAAGGAGAGATTACAGAAAAAGGCAAACATCTGTACACTGTCACGCATAAAAAACTGCAAACATTTCCCACCTGAAAACAAGTATTTTATCTCCTCGTTTGACACTCTCGTCAATCAGGTGGAAAAGCAGAACCATTTTGGCAGAGTTCTCCAGAACACCCGTCTGGTAGTTGGTCATGATGACTTTTGCCTAAAACAAATGATTCAAAAAGGATTCAAATGTGTTCATAATGTGCAGAAATTACATCATGACCACCAACATTTCCAACTAAAATCTATTCAAAGTTCAGCAGCCGGGCGCAAACAAAGACCAATCATAATATTTACATACAGAAGTCTTAAAGGTACAGTAGCAAAAACAGCTGGTGCTAATTCTAAGAGACAAGCCATAAAATAGTCTCGTAAAAAATATGATTGCTTTTTCTAACATTATAAGTTAAAAAGAAAATGCTAAAGGCAAATGAGAAAGTGAACAATGTGTTCTAGGACTGCACGATTTGGGGGAAAAAACACTAATTGTGATTTTTCTGATAAAAATTGAGATTTTTAAAAAATGCGTTAAAACTAAACGAAATAAATATATAAAGAAATATTACCATTTAATACAGAAGAAATATTACTATTGAAATATTTCACTGAAAAACAACAATAAAAAATATAATAGTCATATAATAGTAATTTTAGTTTATGGTACAATTTATTACATTATAATAAACTAATATTTATGACTGTCTTATTTTCTGTATTTTCAAAAGTTATACCAACAAGCTTCTGTTTGGCAAAAACTGCAGAGAGCTCTTAAAGCTTTTGTTGACAACAGCTGGTTTATAAGCACCACTAATAACAAATTTGGAAAGAAAATTTACTGCGAAATGAGCCACTGAAAACCACACAGAAACATGCATCACATATATTTATTTAATTTAATTGCACATTTGTGATTTCACATTTGTGATAAGTCATATTAGCATTTCGGTTTCATTTCAATTCAAAGAGTCAAACACATTCTAAGTTGCGCAGTGTTACCCATTCATATGTGATGACTTGGTTGGCCTTCTCCTGTAAGGGGTTCAGGGGTCCCATAGCAGCCATCTTGCTGTTGGCCGGGTCGGACGACTTGCCCTTTATTCCCGGAGCGGAGCAGCGGGTCCCGCTGGTGGAGTTGAGGTCATCCAGGTCAAGATCTTGCTCATTGGCCAGATTTTCCTTCTGCAGAGTTTCGTACAAAACATCCGGATGATTCCAGATCTATACAAAAAAA